AGGGACCCTGTGCAGTGGAAAGCCTGCATTTTGGCTCCCCAGAAACTTAACTACAAATGGCTATTGCTGATTGGAAACCCTACCGATACCAACAGTTGATAACATATATTTTATATTTTATGGATTAGCTGCCTGTATTCTTATACTCTGCTAGAGAAAAGAAAAGGTTATTTAGAAAATCATAAGGAAAACAAAATACATTTACAGTACTGTACTGTATTTATAAAAATCTGTGTATAGGTGGACCCATGCAGTTCAAGCCCCTATTGTTCAAGGGTCAACTGTATATAAATAAAGTCTAGTTAATATCCTCAGAGATAAGAGAAGATAATAGGTCTATAATAAGAACAAGATACTCCTTAAAAAAAAAAATAAAGGGCAAGAGCAATCAGAATAAAGGAGAGCTCTTCAAACTTAAAAATTTGACAACCTAAAATTTAAAAGTCAATAGAAAGTTTGGAAGATAAAGTTGAAGAAACTTCCAGGAAAGTAGAACAAAAGGAAAAATATGATTAATAGAGAAACTGTTATATCTAAATTCTGATTGATAAGAATTAAAAAAGTATGGGGAAGAAGTTGTCAAAGAATCAATATAAGGAAACTGCCAGAATCAAAGATAATGGATTTTAAGGCCTGTCAGTGCCTAGCACCAATGAATAGAAGAAAACCACTGAAAAGTATATTATTGTGACAGATTGTTAAAGATTGAATGATAATCCTAAAAGCTCTGGTGACAAAAAAGCAGGTCACTTATAAATGGTCTGAACTCAGAATGGTGAAACACTTTTTGAACAGTACTGGTGCTGGAAGACAGTAGAGAGTTGTCTTCAATTTTTTTTTGTTGTTAAAAATTATTTCCTGCTTAGATTTTTAACCTAGTTAAACTATTATGTATGACGTTAGCATATAGACTTCCTAAAAAAAAAAAAAAGGTATACACAATCAAAAAAGTATCTCTTAAACTATCAAAAAAAAGTTTCTCTTAAGCTATCACATGAATTTAATAGGATATTCTGGATGTTATCCTAGAACAGAAGGACATTCAGTAACAAGAAAATCTGAAAAAGATAAAGACTTTTGTTGAAAATACAGTAGTACCCTCTTTTATCTGAGGTTGTGCTCTCTGTAGTTTCATTTAGCTGCAGTCAACTGTGGTCCAGAAGCAGATGATCCTCCTTCTGACATCTTGTAGGAAGGTCACTAGTAGCCTAACAGTACATCATGATGCCTACATCATTCACCTCAGTTCATTTCATTGTGTGGACGTTTTATTCCACATCATCCCAAGAAGGCTGAATATAGTACAATAAGGTTTTGTGAGAGAGACCATATTCACATAACTTTTATTATAGTACATTAGAATTGTTCTATTTTATTATTAACATTGTTAATCTCTTACAATGCCTAACATAAATTGAACTTTATCATAGGTTTGTATGTCTAGGAAAAATCATAGTGTATATAAGGTGTGGTGCTATCCATAGTTTCAAGCATCACGAGCGGTCTTAGAATATATCCCCCATGGGAAAGAGGGGACTACTATAATGTACCAATATTTGTTCATGAATTGTGACAAATAAGTTAGTAATAGGAAAACCCGACTTGAAATATAGAGATCCCCCTGTATTATATTCACATTTTTTGGTTAAGTCTAAAAAACTATTCTAAAATAAAAAGTTTATTTTAAAAAACTGCTTACAAAACTGTGTCTTCGTGCATCTGTCCTTGGGAAGCTACTGGTGGATGTGATCCCTAATGAGGGAGTAGAATAAGAGATTCAACAGAAGAGGGAGGCCAAAGGAATTCCCATGGTTATGTTCTAGAACAACAGCTGTGCAGCACAGTAGCCATTTCAGGGAGAAACAGGATAAAAGCTGGAGGGAACCGGGGAAGTAATCTCTATGGGGGGAAAAAAAAGGAAAAAAAATTCATGGGATTGACTCTGTGGAAAATTGTACTGAGAGGCTGTTAGGGAATGGGAGATTTAAAAAGAAACCTTTGCAAATGGAAGAAAAGGCAATTTGACTATAGGAAAATAAAAATGTTGACCAAGAAAGGAAATGTAATTATACTATATTATTTGATTCACTAGTGAGTAATATATTTATCTAGCCATAATAATTGTTGTATGATAAGGAATTTGACTGGCCTTCATCCCTGGTTCTTGGTGGGGAGAATCTAAATCCTTGGAATTTCTGAGTGACAGGATTGTCTTTATTATTCAGATGCTTTGAGATGACTCATAGTGGGATCCTGGATAGCTTCAAGATGGGGGCTGGTCATGCCGTAAAAACCAACCGTGTGATTAGAAGATTGGAGGTCTGAGCCATGTGACATCAGCTCAATCTTTCAATCTCTGGGAGGGAAGGGGGGATTGGAGGTTGAGGTCAGTGATACAGTCAACCATGCCTCTGTAATGGAGCCCATTAAAAATGCTGGACATTGAAGCTTGATGTGGCTTCCTAGTTGGTGAACATACTGGTGTTCTGTGAGGGTGAAGTGCCCTGATTCAGAGAGGGCACAGAAGCTCTGCATTTAGGACCTTCCTAGACCTTGCCCCTTGTGGCTGTTCACTTGGTTGGTCCTGATTTGTATTCTTTATTGAAAAACTGTAATCACAAATTTTTAAGTCCTGAGTCCTGTGACTTGTTTAGTGAATTGCTAAACCCGAGGAGTTGTGGGAACCCTGAGTTTTGCAGTCAGTCAGCGTAGATGCCTGTCAGGACCTCTGAATTTGCAACTGATGCCTGGCATATGGACAGTTTTGCTGGGGCCCATGTCCTAAGGCTAGTGTTAGAATTGAGTTACATTATTATAATAATGTACACATTGAGTATTGACAGAGCACTCTCTCCCGCCCCCGCAAACCCTAAAAGCACAAATATCACTGTTCTGCAACATCTAGTGAAATTCTGTATCTCAGTGGTTAACAGTGGCTGCTAATAAAACAACAAAGACAGATAACCAGACATGTGCCTCCTGATGTAAATATGTGTTATTGCTTGTGAAGTATTCTTACCAAAAAAAATCAAACTTGAATTTGATCAAGCATTGATAGGTAACCACTAGGGGACAGAAGAACATGTTATATGACATCAGGGGAATGTAATCAGTAAATGCCATGCTGGGAAAGTAATAGGATCCAATATCTTCAACAACTAGTAGGGAAGTTGGGGGTCTGGGGAGGAAGGGGAGGGAGAGGGAGTAGAAGCAGAGGAGAGAGAGATGGAGATTGAATAAATAGATACAGAAAGGTAGATGGATAGATAGACCTATAGTCTTAAAAATAGACATTAACCAATTTTAAGTATGGAAGTTATTTAATCCTGATTTGACCAAATTATTAGAAGTTTTCTGAAACACTTGGGGGAATTTACATACTGATTAGATAATTGATGTTTGATTTGAGATTAGATAATTTAATTAGGACTTATTTACAGTTTAGGAATGTGATAATGGTATTGTGGCTATTTTAAATAACATATAATGAAGTTCTTATGAAGTCATATGATGTTAGTGATTTACTTAATCTGAGGTGGGAGGAAGTGGGTGGGGGTATATAGTTGAAGCAACATTATTTAAAATTAAGTTGATAGTCTTTGAACTGGGTCATGGGTACATGGGGGTTTGTTATACTGTTTTTATTTTTTGATACGTTTGCCCTTGTGTAATTTGGAAAAAAGTGTTTTTAGTACAAATACAAGAAAATCCTACTTTACTCCATAACTTGTTTTCCATAGTTTGTAAATGGCTTGGAAAATCTCAGAGAAGTTTGAGGCACATCCCTAACAATTTGGAGGGGATAACGATAACTGTGCTCTGAATTTGTAACAAGCGTCATTCCAGTATTTCAGAGATAAGGTGCCATAATGAAGTCTGACCCATTATAATTTTCAAATGTTTCTGCTACATAAGGTTTTTGAGGGGCACCTGGGTGGCTAAGTTGGTTAAGCATATGCCTTTGGCTTGTGTCCTGATCCCAGGGTCCTGGGATGGAGCCCCACATCAGGCTCTCTGCTCAGTGGCATGTCTGCTTCTCCCTCTCCCTCTGTGCTCTTCTTACTTTCTCTCTCTCTCTCAGTAAATAAAATCTTTAAAAAAAGGAAAAAGGTTTTTGAGCTTGTAAGATAAATATACTTTCCTATAGAATAAATCATAGTCAATTTCTTTTTATTGCCCATAATTTTGAAAAATTAAGTTTATTCAAGTATAACAGATACATACATAAATATGCATTTTTAAAGTGAATTCTTTCACACTTTTATACCCAAATCAAGATAAAGAATATACATCCTCTACCCCAGAGATCCCTTAATGTCCCTTCCTTGTCATCTTGTCATCTACCCCCTCACCCAGAGGTAATCAATATTCTGATTTCCGTCATTGTAGATTAGTTTCACTTTTTTTTTTTTTTTTGGCCTTCGTAAATGGAATCATAACAGCTTGCATGCTTTTATGTCAGGCTTTTTTCACTTGGCATAATGTCTGGGAGACTAGTCCATGTTTTGAATATATCAGTAGTTCTTTTTTATTGCTATATAGTATTCCATTATATGAATATACCTCCGTTTACTTATTCTCCTGTAGATCAATGTTTGGGCCTGTTTACCTATTATGCATAAATAAAGCTACCATGGACATTCTTTTGGTAGACATGATCCGTTCATACTTCTTGGAAATTGCTTGGTCACAGGGTAGACACGTGTTTAGTTCTGGACCTAATGCCAAATAGCTTTTTTTCAAAGTGATTATGTCAAATTTACCGTGCTACCAGCAATGTATGAAAGTTCCAGTTCCTCCACAACCTTGTCAAGACTTGGTATTGTAGCCCTTTAAATTTTATCCCCTATGGTGGGTATTCCGTCTTAAATTTGAATCACTAGTGTTCCTTCATCTTTTACATTGAAGTATTACACAGGTCCTCTGGTGTATAACTGGTGGGTCCTATGATTGGTTCTTCGTTGTAGTTCTTAACCTAAACTGTTTTTTTCTTTTCCCAGTTGTCACAGGTAGTACTGATGGAATTGGAAAATCATATGCAGAAGAGGTAGGTAATTTTCAAGACCTTTTTCTTGGTTAAAAATAAAACAAATACAGGATGATCTCTTATAGTTGCTTTGATTTTTGAAGTTAAAAACAAATACAGTGTTATATAGTGCAATAGATATGCTTTATTTCTAATCAGAAACCCCACACTTGCTCAAAGACAATTTTAATACAAATTTTTGTGCAAAAATGAGTATAAAACTTTCTGTTCCATTAAGTTGGAATTGGGGAAAATGTAGCATAGTTTTATTTTATATTGTGTAATTATGGACAGTCCTTAGTCAGTTGTTTTGAACTCTTTTCCAAAAGGTGGCTATGTTATTAGGCAATAGTTATATTTCCAGGCTAGTCCATGGCATCGTTTCTTTATAAGGAAGACTATGATTGACGAAAAGATATTGACAGACATGGGCAAAGGGTTCAAGTTCTCTGTAATGTCATGAAAAGGGTAGGGACCGTGGTAATTTGAGGGCCATTGTACAAAGCAGGAGTGTTGGTAGTACTCTTTGAAGGCAAGCTTCCCTGCCCTCTGGTTCTGCGGAGGCATCACAGCTTATGATAGTGCCCAATTCTGATGACAGTCTTGGCAGATCTTTTTAAAAGCTTTTACGGGCGCCGGGGTGGCTCAGTCGGTTAAGCCGCTGCCTTCAGCTCAGGTCATGATCCCAAGGTCCTGGGATCTTGCCCCGCATCAGGCTCCCTGCTCAGCGGGGAGCCTGGTTCTCCCTCTCCTTCTACTGCTCCCCCTCCTTGTGCTCTCTCTCTCAAATAAATAAACAAATTAAAAAAAATAAACCTGAATTTTAAATTATAGAAGTAGTAGATACTATTTATTTATTTATTTTTGAAAGATTATTTATTTTAGAGGGAGATCATGAGCATGAGTGGGAGAGGCGGAGGGAGAAGAAGAGAGACTCTCAAGCCGACTCTGCATGCAGGGCTTGATCTCATGACCCTAAGATCACGACTTGAGCTCAAACTGAGAGGCACTTAACCCCCTACACCACCCAGATGCCCCAGTACTTATGATTTTAAAAACTAAAGCAGTGTAGATGGGTATAAAATGAAAAGTAAAAGTTTTATTCTTTCTGAAACCCTTGATATTTGTATACTAGCTTGACTCAGAAAGACAGCCCTTTGGAAGACTCCTTTGTAAAGTCTTCATTTTGAATTGGCCATTCATTACTACTTAATTTTATTTATTCATTTTTTTGTTGGATTTATCATATTATCAGATTTTCTTAAAATGAGAGTATATCTGATTTCTGTTTTTTAATGATATGTACAGGTGTGATTCAATTGCTTGGTGTTTTTTATTGTTTCAGTTAGCAAAACACGGAATGAAGGTTGTCCTTATCAGCAGATCACAGGATAAACTGAATCAAGTTTCCAGTGAAATAAGTAAGTTTTTCACACACCCTCTTCTTTCATATTTACAAAAGGAATACAGCTAATCTAAGTTGAATGTTTTCAAGTAGGTATCTAGCACTGACATATTTATAGTTCAGAACGCTTCTTTCTTATGTTGTTAAAAAGTGTGCTTTAAAATGGGTCATCAACTTTTTTCAAATTAATATGGGACTGTTAAAATTTCCTTAAAATGTCTTTTCCTGACTCATTTAAGTTGTTTTTAGGAGTCAGCTTCTCTGATTATTTTTTCATGTTCTACTTAAACACCTGAATTCCTTTTCTGTTGCTTTATTTCAGTATTCTTGCATTTTTTTTTTACTCTTTGACATCATTGCCTCTAAATTTTTTTCATATATAATTGAAGAAAAATACAGAAGGCAGCCTATATATATATATATCTTTTGAGCTTTCTTCTTAGTCAGCTGTGCTGGAAACCTGAATTACTATGTAGCAAAGATTCTTAACTCATGTCTAATTAACCAACCCCATGGGTAAAGTAGTCCTATCCATTCCTTGGTAGAGCACACCACTGTTTCCAGGGTGCTGATCGTTTGTGGCCGGTCGGCTTCTGAGTGTGAGGCTTTTGCATGTTAACCCCCACGAGTTAACTTACTTGCTTTAAGAGTCAGCTCTGTGTGTTCCCAAACTTAGGCTGAATGCATTTATTATTTAATATTCCACACAGATGCAATATTTGTGTAAAAAGGGGGAGTTATTTCTACGAAAACTAATTTGAATGCCTGAAAAGGGTGAGAAAAGCGAGTTCTTTCAGAAATCGGCTGTCAAATTAGGGGTGAACAAGACAAATGTAAACTAATTGGAAAAAATGATAAAAAGTAGAAATTTGCTCTCCACTTGTTTCATACGTGTTGAAATTTTTGCTGCACTTTACAAGAACTGAAACTGCAATCATAAAGGATGCATTATGAGCGTGGGTGAGACAGGAAAGTCGGGAATACCAGTCAGCAGACCTAAACTCTTATGGAAGGCAGGGGTCCTGCCTGGACGATTGGTGAATGAATTACCTTTATGCAAGACTTAAATAAAGTGGTTACAATGTGTATTTATCGTTTTCTAGGATTCCCGCTTTAACTTCTGTGAGTAGCCAACTAACAAACTGCTCTAATTCTTTCGGATGAGAGAAGATTTCTTCTGTGTTTTTTTTTCAGCGTTATTGAGATATAATTGATGTAGAACATTGTGTAAGTTTAAGGTGTACCACATGCTGTATTTTATTATTAACATTACTACCTACCGTTAGCGTTCATATGGTGCTTTATTATTTATTTATTCATTCCCTCACATGTATTATCCTTTTTAAGCTTTCAAACATCCTTGTGAGGTGAATATTTTTGTTATTGTTTCTTTCCAGACCGTAACTGGTCCTTCTTGATAGATTATATATAAATGCACTTTTTCTTTATGTAAAAAAAGATCTTTATAAATACTGATACTAAGTATACTAAGTCTTATTTTTTTTCTTAAAATTTTTTTTAAACCCTGTTACAGTCATAGATTTTTTATATCTTGAGCATTTAAGGATTTTAACTTTCAAGTTTTGAATTATGTAAACACAGCTCTGAAGGTTCAAGACATACAGTATTTTGCAGTTTGGCTAAGGTGTGAATTTGACTTAAGCCATGGCATTGATGAGCCTGGCGCAGTTAGCTTAGGTAGTTGAACTTTCCATATTGCCCGGATCTTAACACTGTTTCTTTCTTAGTTACTTGTGCTCATGCGTATAATTAACTCTTACAGTGATAAAAATGTTGTGTTGGTGCATGTGTAGATAAAACTGGCTGTTAATGAAAGCATTTGCTCATGGCTGGAAGTTAAGGTTCATAGGTGAAAAATAGAACCTTTGATGAAATGGAATGTTGAATTTTGAAATGCTGTGATCTGAACGAATCCACCGTCTACTTGATCCCAAGACAAGTAAGAGCTCCCTCATGACGGTCTTTGAGAAGGTGCTCCAGCCTGTACAAAAAATTGCTCAGCAAGCCAGAAATATACTTTAATGATATTTGAGAATTTATTAACTTGTGATATGAGGTGACATGTGACTGTGGGCAGAGATACGGTTCTGGATAAAGACAGGATCCTGTTCAAACATTTTCATGAAGGGGCATATGGTGATGCACTGAATTGATCTTTACTATGTTTTCCTGGGCGTTGTATAAATTAAATGAGAAAGGTGGTATCAGCAGACCAGGTCGTCAGTTCTAAGTTGAAGAAATACAAAGAGGAGTTTATGTATACCTGTACAGGTTTTCAGCTCAGATGTAAATCATCTCTTTGTCAGGATAGTGTTTTCATGCACATCTCTATTCCAGAAGGAGGGACCACAATTTAATGTTGACGAAGACAGAATAACTCTGTTTATGCCTTTAGCACATCTTTATTGAATGCCTGTGTACCAGGTTCTATGCTAGCTGGTCACTGTACAGTGGTGAGCATGGCAGAAGCTTTTCTTGCTTTCATGGAACTTCTGTGCTGGTGGAGGAGACAGAGGAAAACAATAGGTAAAAAATCAAAACAAAACAAAGCAAATCAGACAAATAAATAATTGCAGTTTATAATAGTGCCATGAAAGAAAGAAACAAGGAGAGAACACGGAGAGGTTCTCATTTTGTGGCAGTGTGAATTTTATGACTGACCAGGTGTTAAAGGCCAGACTAATAGCCTCTTGCCCATATAGTGCCACTCCGGTTATGCAGCTGGAGCCTTAGGTGCCAAGAATATGCGCTGGGCCCTCTTAGGGGGTGTAGTGCGGAGGGGTTATATGCGCAAGCTGCACATGATAAATGTGCTCCAGCATTCCTCTTTTCTTAAGCCTTTGAATCCCTGCCTCTACATCATGCCAAGAAAGTTGTAGCCTCCCAGTCTTACTAGACGGAAGGCCGTCATGGAGTCCCAAGTTGCAGTCAGCCACCCAAGTCAACTCTTAGAGTGCCTTCCAGTTGTACGAGCTAACAGTTAAGTCCTAAATCTCTGGTAAGTGATTCCTGTCTTTAAAAATATCCCAGTCTGGTATTGGATTATGTTTTCCTTGGCCTAACACTCTTCGAATCATTCTCACCCAGATTTCCTAGCCATCTCCCAGTACCAATGAGCACACTTGTGCAGTTATTTTTGTGTGTCAGCCACTACTTTATGGATCTGACTTTATCCTTGTTCCTCAAAGAATGCTTGTGAGTAGCAGTAAGGGGATCATCTGGTTGGGTCTTGAGGAGAAGAAGAATTCTCTTGCAAGAAAACTGCCTTAAAGTTATCGTGAGGTTCTGCTGGTTCTTCTGTCCAGGGAAAACGAAGGTCTTCCAACACAGGAGAGAAGGGTGTTTCTCTTTGCATTGGCAAGGGGGGGCTCAGAATGGCTTAGGGGTTCAAGATCCTTGGCTTCAGTTGAGCCCACCCAGATATCCCCATCCCAAGTCTCCTTCAGTGTTCTCACTTCCGTACATGAGACGTGGTGAGTCTGGGAGTGCAGCTTACACACTGTAATTCTGCCCCTGGCTCAGTTAAAGCCGATGTCAGCAAGGGGAGCCTGTGGCTGTAGAACATGAGGGTTTTTCCTAGGGCTGCCATAGAAGTTCTCTGCTTCTCTGCTCAGAAATGGGACTGAAAGCTTAAAGGCCCAAGCTGGTCGTTTGAGACGAAGCTGTGCCATACTACAATCTCTGTGTTCATCACTTCTGCCCAACTCAAATATGACGGCCACTTGGTCCCTTAAGGCGCTTCTTCAGAGGACACTGTATTATAATCAGCAGCCAGCATTCATTTGATTAGTGGCAATGCGACTGCATTATGGATCAAATCAGACCAATACCAAAAAATCCTTTGAGGTCTGTTTTCGGGGATCCCACTCCTGATACCAATTTCTGTATCAGACAGACTTGAGTCAAGAAACAGAAGTCAGGCAAGTTAGTTTAACTAGGCTAACTTGTCTTTTCTAGTTCAGCTCTCACATTCACTTCAGGAGGTTAAACTCATCCCTCCGCCTTTCCTATGTGACTGAAAGAAGAAAAGAGGAAAGGAGGGGATTGAAAAAGAAACCACATGCCAATTGAGAAAAAACAGGACTCTTCTGGGCTCCTGTCACCTTCTGACTCTCCACTGTCATTATGTAAACTTGGGGATTCTATTCCTTTAGAAGCAATTTCTCGTGAGTGTGGAGGACAACCTACTTACAAAAGTTCTTCAGGAGAATTTTTAAAGGATTATATATAGTTTAGTAGGGAACTAAATGTTTTGCCAACAATGGATAAGTGCCTTCTTGGGATCAATTGCTTTGATGAATTTTCGCTTCTTTGTAAGGATAACTGTCACCTGTTGAATTAATACAAGCTGAGAGTCAACACATATATAATAAGCTTCTTTTATTATCTTTGTTAGCCAGGATTATTAATATATTCAATATTTGGTCAGTTTTGATTTGTCAAAGCAAAAACCTCCTAGATAATGTTTGAACTCTGAGCTATGTTTTTACTTGCAAAAAGCACAATGCAAAGACTAGCTTTTAGAACAACCTATTGGTTGAATAGAGAGATGGTGATATTACAGCTCATATTAGTACAGGGCAGTGGGTAATTCTGATCGCATTCACCTTAATCAGCTTTGATTAAAAAAATACAAATTCTGTCTTTGATTAAAACAAACAAAACAAGGGGTGTTTGGCTTAGTCAGAAGAGCATCTGACTCTTGATCTCTGGTCAGGTCAAGAGTCTAAGCCCCATGTGGTAGAGATTACTTGAATTAAAAAACAAACAAACAAAGAAACAGGGTGTTTCTCTCTTTTTGTTAATTATCTTAGGGTGTAAAGCTCTGGGATGACCCTGTAATTCCATGGTCTCTTAAGAAATGCTTTTAGAAATGTAAATCTTACTAGTCAGGTAGTCAACAGAGGGATAGGGTTAGGTTAAAAAAGAATCACTTTCATTTTTTCAAACCTTGCCTCTGATCAAATCTGTATAGTTAGGTGTAGATTTGACCAA